AAGAAATACGCGCGCTGCGTGATGCCCACGCCCAATTCCAAGCGTCTCTGTCATCGGCCGAAGCGGACTTTAAGGCATTGGCAGCACTCGACCAGAAGATCAAGAGCTTTAATGTTGGACCAAATCCGTACACCTGGTTCACCATGGAAGCTCTTGAGGAGACCTGGCGTAATCTGCAAAAGATCATAGAGGAACGCGATGGCGAACTTGCCAAGGAGGCCAAGCGACAGGAGGAGAACGACAAGCTGCGCAAGGAATTCGCCAAGCACGCAAATCTCTTCCATCAATGGCTAACCGAAACAAGGTGAGTGAACGACTCCATTTCTAGCCCTGTCTAGTGTTTTTTACTATTGGTGTCGGTATCCTCATTCCTTCATCCAATTCAATTAAATTCAATTCTTGTTAACGAAAACAACTCTTGTGGTCACTCTCTCTGTGAAATCTCGCGTAATTTCGTTAAATCTCAAATAATTTCGTAACTGAAATGCTCAATTCTGTTTTTCTAGATATTATATGCTGGGTTATAATCGTCAAGGGTAATTAAGAAGAAACGAGAGGGACATCTGCAACTCTGCGTTGAAATTTCCTTAGTGTTTCTCTTCATTTGTTTCTCATCATTGTTTTGTTTCCGTTTCTATTTCTGTTTCTGTCTGGCTAAAAGTTTAACCGCTGCGTTGCTCAACTAACAGCAAAAATTAAAAACTTGTATATGGAGTTAGCTTCTAGCTTCTCCTATACTCTGTACATATATACTTAACTTAGAAAATCAAAGATATTATATTTAATGCAAAATCTAGTTCTAGTTCAAGCAGCATTTAGCATCGTTAAATCAAACGATTTCTTAACTATCGATCAATTTAGCGTTCGATTCAGTCCAAATTCTCTTTCTAACTTTTGTTTTCCTTTTACAATCAATAAATAAACAATTTAAATGCAGCATGTAAAAAAGTAGCATAAAAGAAAACAACAGTAGTAAAAGCGAATTTTGCATTTAACTTTTTCGTTTAATTAGCTTTAACAGAATATATGTTGGCTTATTTATGTTTAACTCGCTTCATAGTGATGTTTTGCCTTAATTAGTTGCTGAATATAAATATTATAAAAAAATGTTTTTTGTTTTTGAGCGCAGAAAACTTTTTGAAAATAATCTAGTATGCCAAAAGTTTCCTCCTCCTTCCACATTTAATGAATTCAAAATCATTTTTTTAATAATTGGCTTAAATATTAGATATTTGTAAATGCCAAAAGTTTTTTTTAATTACAAAATTTAATTCAGAAAAGCCAAGCGCTCTCTGCTTAACTTTTGAATGTCTTTGCTGACGAAGTTTTAGAAAATTGTTTGGCAAAACTTTTTAAAATTCGTACACACACTCGTAAAACCGACTACTACACCTGTATATATCAAAGGACAACAAAAAAGTATTAGAAGAATTTAAAAAACAATAAAACTGCCGCCCCTAACCACAGACCTCTAACAAGATTTGCTTTTCTTATATGCATTATAAACCATTATACAATAAAATTTGTATATTTAAAAAATGCTTTGTGCTTTACTAATGAAACGCTTTTCTACTTTGAACACAAAAATTTACAAACAAATTTTGCGAAACAGAACTTCGATGATGGAAGGCTCTGGTTCATTGGAGCAACAACTGGAGGCGCTTCGCGTCAAGGCCACAGAGGTGCGTGCCCGTCGTGTGGATCTAAAGAAGATCGAGGAACTGGGCGCCCTATTGGAGGAGCATTTGATTTTGGATAACCGCTATACTGAACACTCGACTGTGGGTTTGGCCCAGCAATGGGATCAATTGGATCAACTATCGATGCGTATGCAACATAATTTGGAGCAACAGATACAGGCACGCAATCATTCGGGCGTCTCAGAGGATTCGCTCAAGGAATTCTCCATGATGTTCAAGCACTTCGACAAGGATAAGAGCGGCAAATTGAATCATCAGGAGTTCAAGTCATGCCTACGCGCCCTTGGCTACGATCTGCCTATGGTGGAGGAGGGTCAGCCAGATCCCGAGTTCGAGGCCATTCTCGATGTTGTCGATCCCAATCGCGATGGCTATGTTTCCTTGCAGGAGTACATTGCCTTCATGATTTCCAAGGAAACAGAGAATGTGCAATCCTACGAAGAAATCGAGAATGCTTTCCGCGCCATCACCGCCGCCGATCGTCCCTATGTTACCAAGGAGGAGCTCTATTGCGTAAGTTTCGTTGGATATACCCATTTATAAATGACAATTTATTAAATGTATATTCTTTTACTACTTTAGAACCTTACCAAGGACATGGCCGACTATTGTGTTCAGCGTATGAAACCCTTCTCCGAACCGCGTTCTGGCCAGCCCATCAAGGATGCTTTAGATTACATAGATTTTACGCGAACGCTATTCCAGAATTAAATTTCGATGCGCCTGAGAAAATGTCTTACAATATATTTCTAAACAAAAATATACACATATATATTTACACGATTATTTTCGATGATAATTTTCTAGTAATTAAGTCTAACAGAATGCAATTTATGCTTATTTAAGTAAAAATGACACAATGAACCCAAAAAACATGAACAGAAGCTGACATAAGCTATATAACAATAATCATTTATACTTTCTACACATAGCTGACAGCTATAGAACTTTATATATTGGTAGCTTTTGCATTTATGTATTTGTCTTTATATAGCCCAAAAACAAAAAACCTAAAAAATATCTTGAACTCTTTGACATAAAGAATACTTAGTCTCAGTAAACATATTTACAAAATGCTCTTAAATGTGAAATCGTATGCAATAAAATGTCATAATCTAAAAGCTTCGCTTGCAATATAACTATCCAAATATTGGCTAAGTGTTTATCACAACTTATAATACCAAAAACCAATAACAACATACTTTCAGTTTCTATGATCGGCAACTTATACGAAATGCAAGTAGTAAAATATGCAAAACAAAACAAAAATATATACAAAACGAAAATATTTATTTAAAAAAATATATATTACTATTTGCCTCTATTTACACTTGAAATAAATTTGCAAATAAAAATATATTGCTGCATGTCTAAAAATGTTAAAAAGAAATGTGTTTTTATTTTTGAAAAATGAATTACAGTTTTGAAAACAACTATAATTGCATTGAAGTAGTAAAAAATTAATTTTTCAAGGTCGTTTTTACAGTTTGATACATAAAAAAATATTGAGAAAATATATGCAAAATATTAAACAAAATTTTGGAAATAAAATATATTGTTGGATGTCTAAAAATATATTAACTGTTTTACTGCAAACATCTTATTAAAACAAATACAAAAATAAAAATAAAATTCAAGTTTCGAATGTAAAAAACTAATCAAATATGTAAACAATTTATTAAGTTTATAAGAAAAACATTTTTATTTAACTATTTGGGAAAGGAAGTGAACAAATGGATGGTCTGAAGAGTTTGATTACAGTTTATTGCAGAGAAATGTATACAATTAAATAACTTTTTATGTTGTCTATCTTTATTATTATTTTTTTTTTTTTTAGACCACCTCCGTACATACATGTATTAATATAACTTATATCAAGAATTTGTTTATGCTTTCCGCATAGGCGTTATTCAGTTTTTTGTTTAGCGTTTCCTTGGGCAGCCATTCGTATGGGATAGCTTGCTGCTCCACATTCACATTGCCGGCTCGCACCGATGCGCGATAGAAGAATATTTTGGCTCCAACGCTTTCCGATCGCTGTTTGCTCGGATATTTATATTTGTGGAAGCCAACCGGTGCATTGCCATAGAAGAGTACTTGCAGATCTTTGCCACAGCGTTCGCTCAGCACACGCTCCGCCGTCTGTCGCATAGATTCGCCATCTTTGCGCAGTCCCTGCGGTAGCACGAAGTGCTCTTGCTCCCCAAGCTTTTGTTTGACAACTAAATAGAGCGTGTCCTCTAGGCAACGATCTGTGGAAGTAAGCTTATTGGCAGCATCATCGGCCGTGGTACGCGGGGCGGCTTGAAATTTCTTCAGCTCCTCCTTGTATGCATCTTTCAGATCTTGGGCTGTTTGCTTGGCCATCGAATCGTCAAGATCCACTTGCACTTTACCCTGCTTTATGAGCTCCTTCTGCACCAAATCACGCTCATGCTTTAGCTCGAAATCAGATTTAAGACTGTTCTCGTACTCCACTTGAGACAAAAGGTCTTGAAATTGACGCTCCAATGGATTTAATGTCTTGGATATCACGGGTAACCGTTCGACTAGAATACCAGCATACAGATCCCATTTTTCCTTGGCGCCTGGTGTCGAAGTCGACTGTGAGCGGGTCAGTTGCTTGGCACTGATTAGCGTAAGGCGGCGTAGCATTTTTAAGTCTTAATTTTAACTTTTTAATAAGCAAAATAATGTGCCTCTTCGATTACATGACCATAAGGCGAATACCGAACAGCTGATCGGCGAACGATAGTACATTTTTCATCGTTCATTACAAATATCGGAAGAAATATTTACCAGTTGGTCAAAACATCGCTTGCAGTTGTAGAAAAACAGCTGCTTCGATAGCAGTCGATATATTAAGTTTTTTCTGAGGCTCGATAGCAGTTCCAAACGTTTTGCGAGGACGAACATTCGCGTTGCTTTTATTTAAACAATTTGAGAAGTTCGCTTTAAGAGCTGACAAAATGTCTGGCTTGGAGTCCTACATCAACCACACGGTCTCCATTATCACGGCAGATGGACGCAACTTCATAGGGACTCTGAAAGGCTTTGACCAGACAATAAATATCATCATCGACGAATGCCATGAGCGCGTTTTCTCAACGACGTCAGGCATTGAGCAAATTGTGCTGGGCCTTCACATAATTCGTGGCGACAACATCGCTGTTATTGGACTGATAGATGACACCATCGATTCCCGGCTGGATTTGGCAAACATCAAAGGCGAGCCACTGGGACCAGTTGTGCATTAATTGTAAACGTAGTTATAGTTCGAATAAATTGATGAAATTTTGATATTTATTGATATAGCTATTCTGTTTCTACACTAAATTTGATTTGGCGGCAATCGAGAGTGGCCAAATCTATTACGGCAACGCTCTGTGTTTTCGAGAAGCTTGGTAAGCAGACGAGCCGCGTTCGCTTCCCCCCGGAGCCGACATGCAAATCCGTTTCAAACTTTTCACAGTTACCCGCAAAGTAAACGTGTGGACATTCCTTCATTATGAATGGATCGCTGCTTATGTACGGGTAGCAGGCCAAGGTGTCTGGTGCAGTGGGAGCTACGTGACCCCATTTAAGCGTGCAGCGAAGAGCTTCGAGTGAGGAGTCCAGCGCAGTACTCCTTAGTAAATCGGCGATGTTCTGACCAGCAGTTCCCACTACAAGAGCGCTATCCAGTCGACAGATATAAGGATTTGTCACAGATTGAAACGATGACAACTGGGCGGCCAGGGGGAACATGCACTTGTGAAAGGGTTGCTGCGGCAGCATAAAATTTGCCGGATCGTAAGCTCCAGGCATCACGTCCACGTGAATAGCTTTTGCCCACGAAGCAAACCAGCTATCCAGTTGGCTAATTGCTTGGACAGTATCATTTGCATTCGCTTGATGCCGCGCCACTTGTAGGGTCGGCACATGGGCCATAGCCGAGCTTCGCACCGAGTTGCCCGCGACAATGAGTCGCACTTGCGACTGGGCTTCAGACTTATTGTCAAAGCATCCACTCAGCCAGTATTGAAACATATTCAAGGCATCTACAAAGTTATGGGACTGCAATTGATCCAAGCCAGAGATTAGAATCAATTTGCTGTTAAGCTTTACAGTCAGCGGCTTTTGTGGCCCGCTCTCCAGGAAGAGTATCTTTTCCACATTAAAGAATCCCTCACTGTCTGTATCACCCTTAACAGCACAAACAATGCCTGTGGCCAACTTGTGGGACTCTAAAAATTCGCCGCCCTGCAGCCGCACTCGCTGAAGTTCATCCTCTAGAATAAGCTTGTCCTCCGGCTCAGAGTAATTTTGTCTTTGCGGCTGTGGAGCCAGCTGATTCTCCTCGGAGATGTCACGCAATATACTTGGCTTGTGAGCTTGATGCTTGTATATGGTTCCAATGATGATGCACTGCACGTTCTGCTCGCCTCGCAGCTCGCACAACTTCATTATGGGCACCTGTGTGCCCCATTCCTTTAGAGCAAGCGGCGTCAGCAGCCGCGTCATTTCTGCCAAGCGGTGAGTGTACAAATGGCAAAACTGCTTTTGATAATCGGTGGTTGTCAGCAGGTATGAGCTGCTCAAGTTCTCGTAGGCACAGCTTAAACGATTGGCCATATTGAATTGTTTATTTACTTAACTTTTATAGCACATCCAGCGTTTGCGCGCCAACAAAACACAATGCAATTAGAGATGGTCAATGGTGAGCGATGAACGCTCTATGGGATCGATAGTATCCCTTCGATGCGCCTGCAATGGAGCCCTGGTACATGGATAGACGAATCGATGGCAATCGACGACCAGCTGAGAATCAGATCAACTCGTTTACAATTTGCAGCGTAGAAAAAGTTTTGGGTGTTTGCAATAAAACGCTTATTAAATGCATTTAAACAATGTTTTCGATCAATAAGATCGCAGGCAACATGTTCAACTACGAATGGCAAAGTCTAATGCTGCGCGTGTGTAGTGCCAAGTGTTGATTAGAGTGAATGCATGTACGCTCTTTCTCTGTATTGATTTTTTACACATAGCTCCAATTCCGAATCTCAATTTGTGAGACTCCCGTCTGGCTAGCTGGCTGGCTGGACAGAGGCGACTGAGAGATATGGGCGGCTCGGTGAGCCAAGTGTTTCGTTCGGGCTCGGCATTGCTCTCACATCGTGATGGCCATAAAGTCTCCAAGGCGACAGAGGAGAAAATTCAAACGCTTTTCGAAATACTGCGTGCCAATCCAAAAATCTCACTGCAAACTCTAGAGAGCCTGCTAATACAGATACCCAAAAATGAAAATATCCTGGTCATACACGACGACTGCGGCTACAATATACTGCAGCGCAGCGTTGGACTCAATCACATCGATCTCACCAAATGGCTGCTCCATCGCCATCGACCTGACGTCAATCGAGCACCCTGCTCCCTGCCATTGCACATTGCCACGCTCCGTGGCTACGAAGAATGTGTGGAGCTGTTGCTGAGGCATGGAGCTCGCATTGATGCCGATACACGAATGTGTTTTCCCGGCGCACATTCGCACAACTGCGAGGAGAGCGGGAAGTGGCATAGCAATGTTGACGATGTGAGCGAAAGGCTAAATACGAAGTTACAGAATGCCCTCTGCTATGCTATCGACGGTAGATACATAAATGAATAATGTCAGTAATTAATCTCTAAGCTGTTTCCTTATTTTAGGCGATCAATATAATGTGCTAAGCATGATGACGCAAAAGATGGAGGAGCCTTGGATACCATTTAGGGCTAAGAAACCCCTGCTTCACTTGGCCTGTGAGCGTGGCGCTTGGAATTGTGTGCAACAGCTTGTGGTGACACGCTCCGAGGAGATAAATCTGATCATGGATGAATATTATCCCATACACCATGCTGTGCTCCATGATGGACGCTTTCTCGAACTGCTTATACAACATGGTGCAATAACCACAGTGCGAACCTGCACCCAGCAAATGACCCTGCTACATGTTGGTGCGTCTTAAGATCAACTCACTAAACCTTTATCAAACTATTATTTAATAATCACTTCTCTATTGCAGTCATATTTGCCGCTCGCAAATCGGCCGAGGATACGCAGGCCACATTGCGTATTTTGCTTGATCGGGGATGCAAGGAGTTAATAAATGCGCCCGACTCGTTGGGCAACACGCCTCTGCACGCATTGATTGTACGCTACGCTTTAGAGGAGGCACGCTATGGTTATGATAAATGGAGCAAATGGGATGTATTGCATTTGGTAAGATTTTTGTTGCAGAGTGGCGCTAAGCCCTCAATCAATCAGGCAGGCAACAGCGCCATGGCATGTGTATTTCGCCATTTACGTGATTGGGAGGTTTGCTACGAGCTGCTCAATATGCTAATCAGAGAAGATGGTAAGTAGTGAAACTACTAAATGATCAACAATGTTATAATTTTCAATACTCTCACTGTAGGTGATCCAAACATTGTGGGCCGTGATGGTTCAGTGCCCATAATGGTGCTGTTGGTGCCTTTGATTAACAAAGATCACCTACATCACTTTACGCATTCGATGAAGGTAAGTTTTTACGCCTTCCCGGTCCACACACAGCATGATTATATAGCTTCGCTTACTTTTTAGGTCTGCTATTTGAATTGCATTCGCATCTTGTTACAACATGGCGCAAATCCCAATTGCTCGTATAGAGCCAATTTGAAGCCTTTGCACGTGCTGGTCTTTACGGTCAGTGAGAATTTTACGCTTAACTGTGATGCACAGAAACGCACAAACTTTGATTTTATCAAGAATATATTGCTGCTGCTGCTGCAGCACGGCTTGGACTGCAACAAAACATATCAGCACATTCTGCAGGCCGTTATGGATATGGTCCAGAACGTGCGCACTTGCCAGGATATGGAATGCATCTATGAATTAACCCTAACGCTCATTCAATATGGAGCCGACCCAAATATTGTGCTGAGCAGCAAAACAACGCCGGGCATTGCGATTTTTTCCAGCGAAATTGCCAGCTATGGCGAAGCACTTGGTGGCGCTGGAGCTGGTCCTGGTGCCGGCGCTGCTGGAGGTGGAGCAGCAGGTGGGGCGGGTGGTGGAGGCGCCGCAGCTGCTGCACTGGGCGACAATACGTTTCGCAATTCGTTTCGCACAAATTCACGCTATCTGCTTTTCTACTATATTATACTGATAACGAAAAAAGAATTTATACTCAACGATCCGCAGCTGACATTCACGCGCATCATTCATCTCTTCTATCTAACCATGGAGCATGATCCGCTCTACAATTGCCTCAAGTCTTTGCACAATTTCTACGTTGCCCAAGTGCCCAACAAAAAGACCGAACAACTAATTGCCCTCATCTCCACGCTCTATCGAAGGCCTCGCAGTCTTAAGCAGCTGGCACGCATGGCCATTTACGAGGCGATGAACCGCAAGCTGGCGCAGAACATAAATCGTTTGAATTTGCCGGGTCCGCTGAAGGATTATGTGCTGCAATTTGAAAGATAACAAGTGCAAGCAATTGATATATAATCTACATAGAGCGTCGTCGAATGTTAACCCTTTAACGACCAATGACTAATTAGAATCAACTGCAACCAATCATTATTGCAATTGTTTTGTTTTGTTGCCCCTTAAGTTACATACATACATATATCACTATCCATACAACATTTAAATGGGACAAACTGAATATCGTATTTGATTGGCTCCCTCCATTCGGAAATGATATCTGCTGAGAGCCATAAGTCTAGTGAGTTTGAGCAGGATATTCAATCTCTGCTTACTCTAGAGGCACATACAGCCATACCCTCTTTCTTGTTTGAGTGTGAGATAAAAGAGTTCAGGGCTTCGTTCGTTCAAAATTATTTTTGTTGATAAAATTTGTTTTAGATGTCCCATCTATCTGTTTAATGGGTTAGCAGCTTTATGTAATATGTTACATACTGTTATGATATACCTAAACATGCAGCATATATAAAACATACATGTATCCATGCATTATATAATTATTATGAAAATAAGATATGAAAACGCTTAAATGTACCTACAGAAAAAAAAAAACAAAACATGTGCAATTTCTTTTATATGAATCTATTGTTCAAAACGCTCATAACTAAAAAATATGTATTGTGAAATATTCAATTGTATAACTTTTACGGCCCACCCTCGCCCTTAAGCTATTTCTTATGCTTATAAAGAACCCAGATAACAGTAAACACTCTAATTCTCCTCCTCAAACACACACTCATTTACATCTATTGACATCTGCATAAAGTTAAGGCTGTTTTTTGATGAACAATTCGGGGTTCTCTTTTTAGAATATTGTATATTTGAAGGCAATTTAACAAGTGTTATACATACATAAATATATATATTTATGTGTATATATTAATAATTATTATTGTAATTATTGTTGCTTAAAACAAAAATTGTTAATCTGATCTGTAATGTCATTTGCAATCGAATTGGATCCGATAGCGATATCGGCAAATTAAATAAAAGCAAAACACACACAAACATGCGAAACGGATCTTTCAAATAGCCAATCGGACTGGAACCGATAAGAATATCAATAATGTTATCGGGAAATTTCAAAACGGAATTCTAATTGGAATGACTGGATGCATGGCATGCAGAATGGAAATTTCACCATGGCTGCTTACGTGTTTCAGCAGGTGTTGACAACTTGTAAGGAATGACAAAAAAAGAAATACACAGAATACACATATGTAAATATTTGTTAATATATATATATATATATATATATATATATATATATGTGTGTATTCAAGTTGCCTTAGTAACGCTTAACAGGACGTACGAATCAAGAGTTAAGTCGTTGCAGGTTTCTTTGCAACGCTCAAACATATATTTTTCACATGAGCAGCAGTTGCAGCATAACGGGAATTTATAGTTAGCCGGCCTGCATCATGTATAGCCGTAAATTGGAGCACATGCATCGCCCGTCCTCGGACATCACGAAATACGATGATGAGCCATATATGAAGAATCCTCTGCTCACCTTTCGGCTCTCCGAGGTGCACGAGCGCCGTCACTATGTGTTCCTCAAGCAACGGGCTGCGGATATTAAAGTGAAGTTGGCGAAAAAACCGTGGAAACCGGAGCCCGAGATGCGACCGCTGCCACAGGCGCACTACATTGACAATTTACGGCGCGAGGTGCGTAAAATTGTTGTGCCGCGCATGCTGCGTAAAACGGAGGCCAAGATCTTAAGCTTTGCACAGGAACGACTGAAAAACAAGTATCCCGAGTTGGTTAAGTCGTACATGGCTGATGTGCATGGCGAATACGATCGGCTAATGAAAATCTATAGCATGAAGAACATATTGCAGCATCCCGAGTTTGCTGACGAAGATCCATCCAAGTTCGATTTACCTCATGCCGATTTCCTTTCCAATCTACCAGGACGCTCAGCGAACTACAAAGTCTATCTAGAGAATCGTCGTAAGATCGCAGCGAAATTACTTATCCTGCAGCCGCCGATGCGCGTTATACTCAGCATCTCCGTAGCGGATCTACCTCAATTCACGTGCAATTTTCAATATGTGAGCAGCATGGGCGCTCAGCAGCAGCAGGTGGGTCTCGGTGGAAAGGAGGCGCTGTCTACCAAATTTTACCGGAAGTATATACAGAATCAGTTGGATAAGGTGAACACATTTCTACGCTGGAATTGGTATACCCGTTTGGTGGCTGTGCTTAAGCGCATGCTACGCAAGCGTGTGATGCCTTTCAATATGTGGAAGCGAGCCTGGGGCGGCCTGGAAGGTCTGATGAACCGCGAGGTAAACCAAATGAAGATGCGTACCTTTGAGGAACTCTATCGCATCTGTAGTAGTCCGCGTACTATGCCCGTCTTTCGCGTGTCCCTGGTATGGAACGATGTGAAGGATGGTCTGGACATAAAACCTAGTTTGGCCAATATTCAGTCCAATTTTGGTGAGATTATCACCGAAATCTCAATGGTGGGCTATCGCATGGAAGCCCTTCAGCCGCAAGTGGACACCTTGACGACCTATGCACAGGTCAACGACTACCTTAAGATTGAGATGAACGAGAACACCGTCAAGGATGTCATCAAAAAGGCGCAAAAGATTATCTGTTGCACTTACACAGAAATCACAGAGTATGTGAATGGCTACCGGGAGAAATATCGAGGTCTATACTCTTCCGAGGTGCGGGACGAGCTTACCAAATTTCTGGAAGAGCCGCACGAATTCGAAGAATACTTTGCACGCATCGAAGGCTATTATGAATACATAAATATGCTACGCAGTGAGCCAGCGACCGACTATTTCGAAGTTGCAGTCATTGACAACGAACCCTTAATCCAATCATTGCGCACTCTGGCCGAGAGTCTAATATCGAATATTACTGCAATCATAATAAGCGAACATATTCGTGCAGAAGAGGAGATCTGCGTGGAGTTCGAGAAGATCAAGGAGAAGGCACTGCTGATACCCAAATCCACAGAGGAGCTGCTCGAGAGTGCGGAATATATGATCTATGTGAAGATGCAGAAGCTGGCTGAGCTTACGGATCGTATTCAATATTGCCTGCAGGTGGGCACCAACATCGTGGAGCTTACCCAGATGTCGAAGTACCACTTCGATTTGACCATCAGGACTATCAACTGGATCAAGGACATTAACGAGATTTGTGATTATAATGCCTCACAGCAGGAGCAATATAAATTCATGTTCGAGGAGCATTTGCAAGAGGTGGTGAAGAAGCTAAACTCTGATATTTTGGAAATGGTGCCCAAGTTAGGCATAATCGATGATATGAGCAGACCGGACAAGTTTCGAGAGTCCTATATCATACTGCAAAACTTCATAGATCAGCTGAAAACCTTTGATGACTATGTGGCCTGGATCAACAAAGAGGAAAAACTGTTCAAAGTCAATCAAACGGAATATCCAACTCTAGAGATCATCAAAACCTTCGTCTATCCATTTGCCGAGCTAATGAAGTAAGTCTAAAGCAACGTACATGAAATATGTTTATTTAAATATGTTTATTCTCTGTAGACTATGTATTGAATGGCAGCGTTATTTGAGCGTATGGACGGATGGGCCTTTCGAATATTTGGAGCCAAAGTTTGTCGAGACCACAACAGAAGATTATCTAAAGGAGTTTCAGAGGAATCAAAAGTATTATCGCGTCAAGATTAAACAAGATATGGTTGAGAATCCGGTTTGCAAATTTAAGGTAACTTTCGCAAGGCAGACAATATATTGCAGCATTAGATAAATAGACATCTTTATTTATAGGGTCAAACTGAGGATCCCGATCCGGAGAAGCATCCTGTACCCATACGCCTTTGTGCTTCAATGATAAAGTCCATTAAGGACTTCAGCATTGGTGTTTTCATTGTGAATACTTTGTGTAATCCGGCGCTGCGTAAGCGTCACTGGAAGGAAATGTCGGACATCGCTGGATTTGATATTACGCCAGATGCAGGAACAACGCTTCGTAAGATTCTCAACTCCGGCTTGGATCCCATACTGGATCAGTTTGAAATAATCAGCATTAGCGCCAATAAGGAATTGCAATTGTGGAACAATCTGCAGATCATGATTAAGGAGTGGGAAAACAAGGTGTTTCCCGTGGGGCCCTACAAAGAGACAGGTGTCACAATCCTCTCCAGCTTGGATGACATACAGGCGTTATTGGATGATCACATACTGAAAACTTTGACCATGCGAGGCTCAGCTTTTATGAAGCCCTGCGAGGAAGAAGTCCGTGCTTGGTATGAGAAAATTATGCGAGTGAATGAAACACTTGATCAGTGGGGCAAGGTGCAGGTGAACTTCTTATATCTATTGCCCATATTCTCCTCCAAGGACATTGTTGCCCAGATGCCCGAGGAGGGTCGACTCTTCGTTACAGTCGAACAGACATATATGCGCAATATGGGCCTAGTGCTCAGGAATCCTTTGGTTATGGAAACGGCGCCAGTTTCTGGTCTACTTGAGTCGTTGCAGAAGGCCAACGAACTGTTGGAGGATATATCAACAGGTGTTAGTAACTATTTGGAAAAGAAACGATTATATTTTCCGCGCTTCTTTTTCTTAGCCAACGATGAAATGCTTGAAATTTTGTCAGAGACAAAAGATCCTCTGCGCGTTCAGCCGCATTTGAGCAAATGTTTCGAGGGCATTAATATACTGGAATTCGATTCGGCCAAAAATGTTTTGGCCATGATCAGCAGCGATAAGGAGCACATCGCCTTCATAGAGCAGATCTCAACAGCTGCAGCTGGTGGAAGTGTGGAGAAATGGCTCGTCGGTGTCGAGGAGGAGATGCTAAAGGCCGTGCGCTACCAATCGGAGCTCTCCTTCAATCACTATCCGACTGTGAAGCGTAATGAATGGGTGTGCGCGTGGCCCCAGATGGTGGTCTTGGCTGTCTCCCAGGTCTATTGGGCCTCCAAGATGCATAGCTGTCTGCGTCGCAGCTATGGCGGTAATCAGGCCGTAATGAATCAGTATTTCCAGGAATTAACTAAGGAGCTGAATGATATTGTCACGTTAGTGCGTTCGCCTGTTATAAGCAATCTGAATCGTATCACTATTAAATCTTTGATTGTCATCGATGTGCACGCCAAGGATGTCACCGAGGAGCTGATCCGACTTAAGATCAGCAGCGAGTACGACTTCCAGTGGCTGGCCCAGATGCGTTACTACTGGGAGGATGCAACGATGCTGGTGCGAATTATCAATGCCACGGTACCCTTTGCCAACGAATATCTGGGCAATTCGGATCGTCTGGTCATCACGCCGCTCACCGATCGCTGTTACCGCACCCTGGTGGGCGCCTATCAGCTGCATTTGAATGGAGCACCCGAAGGACCCGCCGGTACCGGCAAAACAGAGACCACCAAAGATTTAGCTAAGGCTCTCGCTGTGCAATGTAAAGTCTTTAACTGCTCCGACGGCCTGGACTACAAGGCCATGGGCAAGTTCTTTAAGGGCTTGGCCTCCTGCGGTGCCTGGGCTTGCTTTGACGAGTTCAATCGAATAGAACTGGAGGTGCTTTCCGTGGTTGCCCAACAGATTCTGCTTATCATTCAGGCGGTGCGTCAGAATGCGGTCAAGTTTATGTTTGAAGGAACCGAGTTGACTTTGAATCCCGCCTGCTACGTCTGCATTACCATGAATCCCGGCTATGCGGGTCGTTCCGAGCTGCCGGACAATTTGAAAGTACTTTTCCGTTCGGTTGCCATGATGGTGCCCGATTATGCTATGATTGGCGAGATCTCCTTGTACTCCTATGGCTTTGTGGATGCACGTAAGCTGGCTGTCAAGATCGTGACCACTTATCGTCTCTGCTCGGAGCAGCTGTCCAGTCAGAATCACTACGATTACGGCATGAGAGCTGTGAAAACGGTGCTCTCCGCCTGTGGTAATATAAAGAAACAATTTCCCGATGAGGTGGAGGATATTTTACTGCTGCGCAGCTTGATGGATGTGAATTTACCAAAGTTTTTGTCCTTTGATGTGCCGCTGTTTGAGGGCATCATCTCGGACATCTTTCCCGGCATTAAGCTTCCTCACATTGATTACACTCTCATGGAGGAAGAATTCAAGCGTGTCTGCAAGGAGGAGATTTTGGAGCCAGCGCCCAGCTTTCTGCTCAAAGTCATTCAAACGTATGAGATGATCATTGTGCGACACGGTTTCATGCTGGTCGGCGAGCCCCTCGCGGGCAAATCAAAGACGCTTCAGGTGCTGGCCAAAGTGCTATCAGCGCTCAAGATTAAGGCGCCGTCCAAGAGCCCCTACTACCAGCACGTGCAGATGGGCATTATGAATCCAAAGTCAATAACCATGAATCAGCTATACGGCTCCTTTGATCCCATATCCTATGAATGGACCGATGGACTGGTGGCCAAAATCTTTCGAGATTTTGCAATGACACCCACGCCAGACAGAAAATGGGTAAGTAAAAGATAAAATATGGAATCGGTAAAAAAGAGAACTTAAATTTCTTCGTTCCATCCCTCTTCTATAGGTTGTCTTCGATGGTCCCGTTGATGCTGTTTGGATTGAGAACATGAACACAGTGCTGGACGATAATAAGAAATTGTGCCTGACCAGCGGTGAAGTGATCACAATGTCCAATGAAATGTCCATGGTGTTTGAGGTCATGGATCTGGCTCAAGCCTCACCAGCCACGGTCTCCCGATGTGGAATGATCTATATGGAGGCATCGACCTTGGGCTGGCGCGCCTTTGCAAATACCTGGCTAAAGAAAGCCGATCCACGCTGGGCGGACAAGGAGAATACGAAATACATGCTGGATATGTTGTCGTGGCTGTTGATGCCAGTAAGATTATATTCGAAATCATATCTGATTCCCTTCAGTCGCATTGATTGATTCCTTTCATTCTCCATTGCAGTGCATGACCTTTGTAAGACGCTTCTGCAGTCAGTTCGTGAAGCCAGGCGAATTCAACTGCATGCTAACCACATTTGACCTGATTGATATGCTGCTCGACGAAGCCATTGAAGAGAATCCGGAGGACTATGACAAATATATGGAGAGCTATATACAAGCAGCAATGCTTTACAGCTTGGTCTGGGGCGTCGGAGGTGTATTGGATATCAATTCACGCGAGAAATTCGATGTGTTTCTACGAAAAGTGAGCAGTTATAAGCTCTATCAGATTTTTCTTATACTAATTCCAACTTTGCCTCCCATCAGCTCTACGAGAACGAGCCCCCTGGAATGGGCAAAATGGAAATTACGCCTCCTATAGATGGCCTAATCGTGGACTATGTGTTTGTGTTCAAGCAGCGTGGCAATTGGCGCTACTTCCCCGAGATGGCCAAGCGCATGGACATTGAGGAGACGAAAATAGGCGTCATTGTGCCCACCGTGGACACAGCCCGCTATTTGCATCTGCTCAAGCTGCACGTGCAGCATAAGAAGCGAATGCTGCTCATCGGACCCACGGGCACGGGCAAAAGCGTCTACATACAAAACTATCTGATGAATAAGCTAAATCCCGAGCTTTACGAAACGGGCTTCATAACATTCACCGTCATGATTACGGCAAATCAGACGCAAGAGCAGATCATAGCCAAGCTGCAGAAGTGGAAACGAGGCATCTATGGCCCACCCAAGGGCATGCAGAGCGTGCTCTTTGTGGACGACATGAATATGCCGGTGAAGGAGGTATATGGCGCCCAGCCGCCTTTGGAATTGCTGCGTCAGTTCTTTGACTATGGCCATGTCTACGATCTGAAGGATAGCTCCAAGATCTTCATCCACAATGTATTAATAATAACTGCCTGTGGCCTGCCTGGTGGCAGTCGCCAGGATGTCTACCCACGCTTCCTGAACCACTTCAATGTATTTTCGATCAACACATTCAGCGACGATACCATGTTCCGCATCTTTCTCAATGTGGCTTTGTGTGGCTTTCGGCGCTCTGGCCATGGCCAGGATGTGTTCGTGCTAACCAATCAAATTATCAGCGCCACTCAGAGCATCTACAAGAGCGTGCAATCCGAGATACGTGCGACGCCCGCTAAATCCCATTACATATTTAATTTGCGTGATATTTCCCGGGTTGTCACCGGCTGCACGCTGGTGCGCAAGGAGTCCGTGAATGACAAGAAGATGCTGGTTAGGGTCTGGTATCATGAGGCAATGCGCGTCTTCTACGATCGCCTGGTCGACGATACCGACCGCAAATGGATGTTCGACAAGCTCAACGAATGCCTCAAGGCCAATTTCAAAGACAAAGTGGAGACAGTCTTTGACAAGTACTGTACGGTGAGTGGATCTAAATGATATATACGATAATTTGATCCGAGATGATATGATTAATCTAACATTTTCCCACCCACACAGGAAGAGGAACCCGAATTTACCATGGAGAGGGCGAATACGGTTTTGTTTGGCGTCTACTTCGACGAGGACAGTGAACCGGATGAGAGACGCTACGAGGAAGTGCCTAGCATGGAAGTCTTCTACAAGATAGCCGAGACGAGCCTGGAGGACTACAACTCCACACGTCGCTCCAAGATGGACGTCACATTGTTCACCTTTGCTTTGCAGCATCTGAACCGCATCTGTCGCATCATCTCGATTCAAGGTGCGAGCGCCTTGCTGATTGGGCTGGGCGGCTCGGGCAGACAGTCGCTCACCAAGCTGGCCACCAATATGGTGCAGACATCGTTCTTCCAGCCGGAGATAACGAAGAACTATGGCGCCAACGAGTGGCACGATGACATCAAGGCCATACTGAAGGAGGCGGGCGGCATGAACAAGCATACGACATTTCTCATCACAGAGAATCAAATTAAGATGGAGCTTTTTCTGCAGGACATTGACTGTTTGTTGAATCAGGGCGAGGTGCCCAACATTTTCCCCATCGACGAGAAGCAGGAGGTAATCGAGATGGCCCGTCTGGCCGCCCAAGGAGGCAATCGCAACATCGATGTCTCCGCCCTGCAGGTGTTTTCCTTCTTTGTGAACCGCTGCAAGCAGAAGCTGCACATCGTGCTCAGCTTCTCGCCCATTGGGGATGCTCTGCGGACGCGAGTCCGTTTGTATCCCTCGCTGGTGAATTGCTGCACCATCGATTGGTATGACAGCTGGCCCGAGGAAGCCCTGCAGATGATTGCCAAAATGTCGCTGGTGGATGTGAATGTGCCATCGGAGGAAATCAAGCTGGCCATCATGGATACCTGTCAGTATTTCCATACGACGGCGGCGCGGGTCACACGCGATTTCTGTCAGATGTCTGGCCGACATATCTATCAGACCAATGCGTCCTTCATTGAGCTCATCCGATCGTTCCAGACCCTAATTGCACGCAAGCAGGGCGAGACGATGCAGGCTAAGATGCGCTATATTGGTGGCCTGGACACCTTGGCTGCCGCCGCTGCTGCCATTTCCATTATGCAACGGGACTTGGGTGCACTGCAGCCCAAGCTGGTGGCCCTGGCGGAGGCGTCACGCAAAATGATGTTGGAAATAAACAAGGAGACGCTTGCTGCTAGCGCCGCCGCGGAGCAGGTGAAACAGGACGAGGAGGTGGCCTCCGTGCAGGCAGCAGCGGCCCAGGTGCTCAAGGGTGAGTGCGAAAAGGATTTGGCCAAAGCTATACCAGTGCTGGAGGATGCTCTGGCCGCCTTGAATACCCTGAAGCCAGCTGACATAACATTGGTGAAGTCCATGAAGAATCCGCCGCCAGTTATAAAGCTCGTCATGGCAGCCGTTTGTGTAATGAAGGGTCTGCCGGCGGAGAGAATACCCGATCCGGCCACTGGCAAGATGGTCAACGATTTCTGGGGTCCCAGCAAGCGTATCCTAGGCGACATGAACTTCCTGCCTGCACTCAAGGAGTTCGACAAGGACAATATACCCGTTGAGGTAATGAAGCGCATACGCAAGGAGTTCATACCCCACAAGGATTTCCAGCCGCACATTGTGGCCAAGGCATCCAGCGCCGCCAAAGGCTTGTGCCAATGGGTCATAGCCATGGATCTGTACGACAATGTGGCTAAGGTGGTGGCACCCAAGAAAGCCAAGCTCGCCGCGGCTGAGAAGGAGTATGCCGATACGATGGACTTTCTGGCCGAGAAGCGCGCCATGGCCGCTGCCTTGGAGGAGAAAGTGGCGCAGCTCAACATCGAATTGGACAAGGCAAATGAGGAGATGCAAAACACAGAGCAACACGCCGAGAATTGCCGGAACAAGCTGATCCGAGCTGAGGCATTGATTGGCGGCCTAGGCGGCGAAAAGTCCCGTTGGAATAGCGCCGCAGATGACCTCCAGGATCTGTATGATCATTTGCCAGGCGACGTGCTTATCTCCTGTGGCATCATTGCCTACCTATCGGCCGTCAATTTGCAATACCGCTCAAGCTGTGTGAGCGATTGGTTCAAGAAGTGCACCTCACTGAATATACCCTGTTCGAAGAAGTATTCGATCTCGGCCGTGCTGGGCCTGGAGGTCACCATACAGAATTGGCAGCTGGACGGGCTGCCCAACGATGAGTTCTCCAGTGAGAATGCCATCATATCGGCCAATTCCAGCCGCTACAGCTTGTTCATTGACCCCCAAGGGCAGGCGAACAATTGGCTGAAGAATATGGAGAGGAAGAATCGATTGAATTGTGTCAAGTTCAATCAGAGCAACTACATGAAGGTCATTGCCGAGGCCTTGGAATATGGCTCGCCGGTGATCATTGAGAATGTGCAAGAGGAGCTGGAGGTGCCGCTAGATCCCATCTTAATGAAGCAAACTTTCCTCCAGGGCGGCGTCAAGCACATCAGCTTGGGAGAGAACGTAGTGCCGGTCTCTCCGAATTTCCGCCTCTATATGACCTGCAATTTGCGTAATCCCCACTTTCTGCCTGAGACATTCAATAAGGTGACTGTCATCAATTTCGCCTTGACACAAAATGCTTTAATGGATCAGCTGCTGAGCATTGTGGTGGCCAAGGAGCGACCCGATCTGCAGGAATTGCGCATCATGCTCACCACCGAGGCGGCCGCCAATAAGGGAGCGCTGCGCGATGCCGAGAATATGATCTTGAAGACGCTGACTAGCAGCGAGGGCGACATATTGGAGAACGAGGCGGCCATCGTAATCTTGGCCGATTCGAAAACTCTATCGAAGGACATCACCGAGAAGCAGGAAGCCGCCAAGGAAACATCCGCAAAGATCGAGGCATTCCGCTTGAACTACAAGCCCGTTGCGGTCCACTCTTCCATACTGTATTACTCCATTACGGACTTGCCCAACATCGATCCGATGTATCAGTTTTCACTCAATTGGTATATCAATCTCTACATGTACTCCATTGAGACGGCGAACAAGTCGAAGGAGCTGCCGCGTCGCATTAAATTCCTGGTCGATGGCTTCACCAAAAACTTGTACAACAACGTCTGTCGCTCCATCTTCGAGAAGGACAAGCTGCTCTTCTCGTTTATATTGACAGCACGAATTCTGCTGGGCACAGGGCAGGTGGAGATGCGACACTTGGCACATCTGCTGACCAATGCCAAGGAGTCGACCAATATACCACCGAATCCGGATCCCGAGTGGATAACTGATATAGTTTGGTTAAATGTGCTGCGATTGGAGGAGCTGAAAGAGTTGAATGGCATTGTCGCGTCGTTCCGTAAAAATCTGCCAGCTTGGCAAGCGATCTATGACCATGTGTCGCCCGAGCTGCAGCCGTTGCCCCAACCCTGGCAGGATAAGACCACGGCCTTTGAGAAGATCATTATACTCAAAGCACTTCGCCCGGATTCCGTTTTCCTAGCTGTTCGACTTTTCATAGCGAATACAATTGGGGAACAATATGTCACGCCGCCTGAATTTGACATTTCCAAGTCGTATGCGGACTCGACGGCCCTAACTCCGTTAGTCTTCATCTTGTCCCCAGGCGCCGATCCCCTGGGCTCTCTGCTGGCCTTCGCTGAGAAAATGGGCCAGGAGGAGACTTTCCAAAGCATTTCGCTGGGCCAGGGTCAGGGACCCATTGCCACGGCTTTGATTAAGAATGCCCAGGATATGGGCTACTGGGTCTGCTTGCAGAACTGTCATTTGGCTGCGTCATGGATGCCCACACTAGAGTTCCTGTGGGAGAACATGGATACATTTAATACGCAAGGTGAGCTGCCCTTAAATGTTAATGAATGTGGGAGTTAATCTAAATGTTTCCGCTTTCAGCAAACTTTCGTATTTGGTTGACTGCCTATCCGACGCCGCAGTTTCCCGTAACGATCCTCCAGAATGGCGTTAAGATGACTAATGAACCGCCAACGGGTTTGAAAGAGAATCTCACCCGGTCGTACAACTCGGAGCCCATTAACGATCCAGAGTTCTATACGGGCTGTGCTAAGCAGGATCGAGCTTTCACGCGTCTGCTATTTGGAATTTGCTTCTTCCATGCGGTCGTGCAGGAGCGTCGTAAATATGGTCCCTTAGGCTGGAATATACCCTACGGATTCAATGAGTCCGATTTGCAAATCTCTGTGCTGCAGCTCAGTGTAAATAGTTTATCAAAATCGGTATCAATTCATTCGTATTCATGTATATTTCTTCGATCCCTTTCAGATGCTACTCAACCAGTACGAGCACGTTCCGTACGATGCCATCTCCTATCTGACCAGCGAGTGCAACTATGGCGGACGCGTGACAGATAACTGGGACAGACGTTGTATTGTTACAATACTCGCGGACTTCTGTAATGCCAATGTGGTCAATGATAATAAGTTCCGCTTTGCTGCGGATGATCGGTATATATTGCCACGAAAAACGGAGCATCGGGAGATATTGCGTTATCTAGATGAAGCTGTGCCTTCATTGGCGCCACCGGAAGTATACGGTTTGCACGCAAACTCGGGCATTACGCGTGATTTGCAGACAACCAAAACGCTGTTGGATTCGATGATTCTGCTGCTGGGCAGCGAGGCAGCGGGCAGCGCTGGCGGTGGCGTTAGTGCCGAGCAAATGATTCTCGATACGATTAAGCAGATTGAGACTGAAATGCCTCCAGACATGGATATCGAGGCAGCAGCAGAGAAATATCCTGTGGATTACAATGAGTCAATGAATACGGTTGTCGTTCAAGAAATGGAACGTTTCCTAAAGCTGCAGAAGGAGATTCGCGCCTCCTGTCGCGATTTGGCCATGGCCATTAAAGGTATCATTGTGATGACGCCCGATTTGGAAAACGTAATGATTGCCATGAAATACAATCGCATACCCACCAAGTGGATGGGTAAATCCTATCCATGCCTCAAGCCGCTCGGCTCCTATGTGCAGGATCTGTACAAGCGTCTCAATTGGTTACATCAGTGGCATCGTGTGGGCAAACCGCCAACCTTCTGGCTATCCGGATTCTTCTTCACCCAGGCCTTCCTAACGGGCGCAATGCAAAACTTTGCACGAAAATATAAAATACCCATTGATACGCTGACCTTTGATTATGATGTGCTAAAAGTAGAATCGAAAAGCACGCCACCAGAAGATGGTATCTATTGCAATGGATTGTTCTTGGAGGGCGCTCGTTGGCACTGGGAGCAGAATTCGTTGGCCGAGCAGCTGCCTAAGATTTTGATGTATGTAATGCCGGCGATATATTTCCGACCTCTAACCCTTTTGGAAGTTACCGAGGGTTCGCGCTATCGCTGTCCGTTATACAAAACGGCCGAGCGCAGAGGCACACTCTCCACCACAGGACATTCCACAAACTATGTGGTTCCTCTGCTGCTCAATACTCAAGTTAAAGCCTCCCACTGGGTGAAGCGAAGCGTCGCTTTAATTTGCCAAACCAACGACTGAAAATGCGAAATGACTTCAAATAACATTGCAGTCGTACACAGTTTAAAGAGAGAAATCAGAAGACTCGAACTACAGTTAAACAGGACATCAATTCAAATGTTTTTAAAGAATTTCAATCAGATGCCCTTATATATATTGGGTATTTTATTAGACGACATTCGTTCAAAATTAGAATATCGGCACTCTTATTTGTATATTATATATATACAATATATATATTCCAATTCACAGATAAGACACAAGATATTAAATAAAATTGTGAAATGAATGTCAATTGCATAAGGGAAACTATGAGTAGCTGTTTCACTGCTTGTTTTTATATTTATTAGATCTTTCGAAATTAGAATATGCGCGTTCTTATTCGTATAATATACATATATAAATATATATATTCACTGCATTTGAAACGCTTTAAACAAGAATAAGACGTAGAGCCAACACGAAAATATAAGAAGGAGAAAAAACACATGCATTTGCTTGCTCACCGGGACTTTAGAAGCCCCAGGAAACAAGTCAAGAAAATACGTAGTGTAGACTTTGGATTAATGACAATGTTGCTGCTTCTACTGCTACTGCTAATAATGATGATAGTGATCATGATGGTATATTATTGTTCTCTCATTGGGAGCGGCAGCCCAAAACATCGGCATGACCCTCATCAGAGCTATTCGGTTGACTGCCACGTCGACGTCGCTGCTGCTCCTGCTGTTCAGTTGCTATATTTCTAGGATTCAAGCTGATATGGCTGCTGCTGCTGCTGCTACTGTTACTGTTACTGCTACTGCTGACTTGATTACGATTCCGTGGAATCTGTACAGCAAGAGCATTGCGCCGCCTTGGTTCTATAAGCTGTCTTATGAAATAATGTATCTGGTTGATATCAAAGTCGCCTACATCCAAAATGCTGCGTTTGAAGTTACGCTGCAACGTTTCCTTCAAAGCATCCGTGCGAGGCACCTCCTGCAACAACAAACAAAATTATATAATCAGTAATCCTTAATGTGATCTATGCCAGCCACTCACTGCTTCTGGTTGACCACTTGGTGCCCAAATCTTGACATTGTGATCTAGTCCAGATGTCGCCAGCACTGGCATCCAGGGATGCTGCTCCAGACAATTGACTACGCCAGCATGATCGCCTTTTACAAAATTCATCACTGCTTCGGTGTTTTTGTCCCAGAAGAAAATGTTGCCACAATCACTGCCACTGATGATATATTCGGAGTGTGGGCCAAAGAAGTTGACACCCTTAATGGTGCGGCTATTGCTATTGGAAGGATGACATAATAATTGAATATTATGATTTCTATTATGTGTAAGCATTATATTTACATGTGTCCCTCATAGTTGTGGAGATATTCGCCTTCCTTATAATTGCGACTGTCATAGAGATAGATGCCGGCATCGCTGTAGGAAGCCAGTATCTCACTGCCGCTATGATTATAAACAGCGCAGGTAATCTGCGTGATCTTTACCTTAAAAAAAGTACAGATTAGTTAACGGAATCTTTCAAAGGTTCATATTATTCTCACATCTTTCAAGTCCTTGGGCGTCATTTCGTGCACAGCATTGGAGCTCAGGTTGCGTTTGTCATAGACGCGCAGCTTGTCATCGGATCCGCTAACACAAAACTCTGGCATATAGGGATGATGAGCAATGCTGAAGAGGCGTACACGTCTCTTGTCCTCCCTGGAGACGCAGCGCAGCATGGTCGAGCACTCATTGCTGCGCAGATCAAAGTGTTTTACTGCAGCATCCTCTCCAGCGCTCATGATTTCATGACGGCTCTGTGGAACGATAACCAACTTATGCACAGCATCACTGTGGTTATAGAGACGGGTGGTTTTGGTGGTGCTGCTGCCGGATGGTGGGATTACAGCGCGTCTCACTTGACCATCACGGCTGGAGGAGACGATGTCTAGGCAGCCGATGCTATCAATGAATTTGGTTTGGAATATATTCAAACTATGGCCCGATTTGAAGTTGTGGCGAGCTTTGCCCTTTGCCCAGTCCCAAATAATGATGCACAGATCATCGGAGCCCGAGCAAATCAAGTCTCCCGTGCGGTTGAAGCTCAAACAGTTGACACAGCAACGATGCAAGTTCAAGGAATCCAATAATTTCATTCGCTCAACCACCTGTCTGGTTGCGTAGTATCCCTGGCCAAAGCTCTGCGATGAGGTTTGTCCACCACGCCAATCGATGCGATTGAAAAGGTTATGCTCCCTTCTCATCAGCTCCTGGGCAAAATTCCAATTATATTCGGGCTTCGGTTTGCCCATGACTTTATTCACTGCAGCCTCTACTTGGGCCTTATCGGCAACATTCGCCACCGTCTCAACGTATTCATCATCCTGCAGAGAATAAAGATATTAGAAATATGCCATTATACATATTAGGAGTGCGCACAACTTACGTATAAAAACATAATTGTGTATAAATGATAATAGTAATCCGTATAGATTTATTGCTTAAAATTCTACTAATACGACTGAATGTTTTCGTTTTATAATAATAATAGTAATATATTTCTATCCGCATAGAGCTATTGCTTGTAGTTCTACTCAAACGACTGAATGTATTTGTTTTATATTATTTCCATACTACTATGACAATTGGAACAAATGCCTATCAATGTGTAAATTGCAATACAATTATGACGAACAACTAATAGAGCTTGTCGAGCCATTCACCAAATATTTAAATAGAAGGTTTACTTGACTTACGGAATCGTTTTCCTCATTGCTGGAGGTGTAATAGCGATTCCAAAAGGCAACGCTTGATCCCGAACTACTGTCATCGTGAGCTCCCTGGGAAAGAGATTCATCATCCGTATGTGCTTCATGATCGGCGACTTCATCACCACCATTGTTATCCACATCCGTATTATTAATCTCGCTGTTGTTGTTTTCATTAGACTGACCATCGCTGTCACTGCTAGAGTACAAGTGTTCCGGGTGGCGATAAGTGCGAGTACGTTGTCGAACTGATCGACGAAATACACGTGAATTGGAATCGGTATTCGCGGAAGCATCTTCTTCATCATCAACGACACTGCGCCTGGTCGAGGTGGACAGCGAAGGATCAGGACAAGAGACTTCAGAAGCAGCCGGCATTTCATCCGAAGAGTTGTGCAACATGTTATTGATTGAGAGCTCTTGCGATCGAGAACTGTTGCGCTCAGCACCTGCCCCGTCGCCTGAAGCTTCGTCGATTGCAGCGTTTACTGAGTTCTCGACTGCTTTCATTGGCTCATCCGGCTTCTGTTCCTGGCTGCTTTCTTCTAATTCAATTTGATTATTCTTATTATTATTGTTGTTGTTTTTGCTGGTGCTGCTTTCGTTTGCCTCATCGCTGCACACGGTGTAAAAATCGATTAACTATAGGTCAGTAAGAAATTGGAATTTTGTTGCTCACTTACCCAACCAAAATGGGATCCACTTTTGATCCAGTTGCCGTTTCTGGTTGTGGTGCTCCTTCTCCATTTTCATATTCCTCTTCATCTTTGGAGTTGGTACGCTTTTGGCGCTTGCAGGCTGTTGCCGTGTCCGAACCACACACTTCTTCAGCTTCAACGTCCATTATAAAAATTAAGTGTGTGGATTATGTGCATTTATCTTAAACACCTGCAATTTTTCTTGTGTACGCAGCAGAAATTAAGACGATTGTTTATGTTTTAAGCGGTGATGGGAAATGATTGACACCAAGAACTACGATAGCTCAGGGATGCGCAAGTAGTCGGTCTAACAATTATCGACAACTATATTTGTATTGTTCTGTTTATTTAGGTGTTCTAAATTCTAATAAAACTTCATAGCAAATTTTGTACAATCATTTTTGAAGTATTTGGCATTACAAACAAAAATATTACGATTACGATTACGACATCGTAGCGATGTGTCTTAATAATCAATATCGATAAGTACATATATTGCGCCAAATATTAAATGAATTTTGCGTGTGCTAAATCACTGACCACTGTTGTTTGGTCAGTGGCTAAATTCAAATTAAACTGGAGTCAAGATAATGAGTACTTATACTTTTAAATTGATGAACTTAATAAAACGCACTATAAAAGCAGTTTACAATCTACATATCTTGTTCATAGCCTGTGTGATGTTAGTGCGTTTTACAGCTGTCTCTTCTGCTCTCTTCGACTGCTTCAATATTCAGAGCGCAAGAAGTTAGTCTTTGACTCTTAGACTTGAGAGTTCGCTCTTCTGGCTGGGCTGGTAGTTCGGCTTGACTGGTTTTTATGTCTGAGCTTGAATTCACAATGAGTCCGCTGTGCCAGCTCGAAGCAGTTTAGTTATTGGTAACAACGCGTCGGCAACGGTTTCACATCGGACGACGACGCGTTCGGCTGGAAGTGTGAGAAATAAGAAAAAAAGTCTTGCAGCAATAAAGTTATATTGTACGTAAATCTTATACAATCATTTAAGACATGCATAAACATAAAGTGTACATATAAGATATTTTCTTCCGTCTTCAATATGCTGTTCACGTTGCCCCCAAGCCTTTCGGAATATCAAGTGCCGTAGTCAAGTGAATGTGTTTTTCTTTAAAGTTGAAGTTGAAGTTGTTTTTAGCGCTAATTAGCTTTCCACGCACATGCATACACCCAAACAAACATTCATACGTACATATATATACATATGTATGAATATTACTGCGTGACTAGGCAGGCGCAGGCGTAGCTCCAGAGAAGAAATTTGAGCGAATTAATTTCAAGTTTCGCTTGGTTCTTGGATTTGTGATCTGGTTTGCTCCTCTCGATTTCGTTACGCATCGCATTTCCACTCCAATCGAAAAGTTGAGCGAATTAATTTACAGTTCCGCTGTATTCTTGAAGTTGCGATCTGGTTTTTTTCCTGTCGATTTTCGACTTTGTTTTTGCGTTCGCAAGATTCGCGCAGTTGCTTTGTGGTTTTTATTGCTCTTGTTGTTGTTCTGTGACTCGATAAAGTGAAGAAGCTGATTCCGGTTTTCAGTCAAAACAAAAGGAAACATACAAAAATTACAAGGCGTATCATCAATTCTATTTTGTTGTTTCTTGCAAGTGCATATTGATGCCATGTTATTTCTTATCAGTAGTCAAATTGATGTTCTTTGTTCAAGAAAATAAAACTGATAGCAATGTTGTCTAGCTGCGAGGCGAACCACCTATTTGCTATATATGTCGTAAAATGCTTGACCCGTTACCTTAAGTATTTGGTTCGGCAAATAATGAATCATACTCGGTTGGATTCGCATGCATTTAGTGCCGGCTGCCCATAAGACTCTACCTCGATGACTTTTTAAGGGGTGCACGAGCGAAAGTTGAGAATCAGGTTTCACAGCCCACGTTCTTGTAATATTTGTTTTTGTTTTATTGGCTAGTCAGGCAGGATGGTGGAATATCCATACAAGTGCGTTGAAGAAACAAGGGAGACCGGGATAATCGCGAGGGCTTGACTGGCAGATACCCTAGAAAAGATTATGGTACGAAAGAAAAACATACGAGGATTGTAATATATTCGCTAGTAATTGACAAGCACATACCCTAGATAACAAAAGGCGACAGATCTATTAAAATAAACTTTTAAAGATAGGGATTTTTATTAGGGATTAACATGAGCTATGTATGATACATGACTATTAAATTCCCTATAAGTAGCTAAGTTAAGAGTTTATTAAAATATGCTAAATGAGAATTACTGCCTCTTTCATAAAAATCAATATAGCCTATCTTAATGCTTTAATGCAGGGTATAAACGAATGCAAGCTGGAAGAAGTTAACGCGAAAAGCCACTTATTTAAGCCACATTTATAAATACAGTTGTCCAGTTTATTATAAAATCTTGATTCTGTCCGGATGATTCATTCGGAGAACCATTGCATGCAAGATTCTCGTTGCCTTTCACTTTTCTGCTGGCTGCAGAGGGAGACTCAATTAAAAGGCGACTTAATTGAGCTTAATTAAAAGTATTTCTTAAATACAGTTTTCTTTACAGCTTGACAGTTATAAATACATATGCATGCATGCATTTCGCTTAAGCTGCGCCCACTCAATTTGTGATATTCTTACTTTTTTTCAGTTGATCTTGGACATGCTGCTCAAAGGAGGTGGAGTTTATAGGCAGGCGCTGCAGTCGCTTTTCCTGGCCACATTTTTGGCTTCTGTTGCGGCTAAGACAGGTGCGTGGTTTTGCGGTAGACCACAAAGGGTGGCTAGACTTAACAATTTGTTATTTTCATGCTTGCAGGACCCACACACAACAAGGTGGTTGTTTGCTACATATCCACCTGGGCTGTCTATAGACCTGGCCAAGGTGCCTATTCCATCGAGAACTTCGATGCGAACCTTTGCACCCATGCTGTGTATGCCTTTGCGGGTCTCGATATCACCCAAGCGTCCATCAAATCGTTAGGTAGTATACATTTTTATTGTTTATACGAGCGCAATATGTAAATTAGTAATACGACATATGTGTTTTAGATCCGTGGCAGGACTTGCAGGAGGAGTATGGCAAAGGCGGCTATGAGCGCTTAACGAGCTTGAAGAGCAGCCATCCGCATCTGAAGGTCAGTTTGGCCATAGGCGGCTGGAATGAGGGCTCGAAGAACTATTCGAGGCTAGTGGCCAATGCGCAGCAGCGCGAGCATTTTGTGAAACAAGTTTCCGGTTTCGTGCGCAAATACAATTTTGATGGCCTCGACTTGGATTGGGAGTATCCAACGCAACGCGGTGGCAGTCCGCAAGATCGCGAAAATTTCGTCGCCCTAACAAAGGCGTTGCGAGAGGAGTTCGATAATTATGGGCTGCTCTTAAGCTCGGCTATTGGAGCTGCCAAGAATGTCATCGATCAGGCGTACGATGTGCGCCAAATCTCGAGGTATCTCGATTACCTGCATATCATGTGCTACGACTACCACGGCAGCTGGGACAAAAAAATTGGTTACAACGCACCGTTAACAGCTCCAGCTGATGATCCATTGAGTGTGGTAGCTATAAAAATGATTTACTAACTTTAATATAAACATATATTTATTGCCATTATTGTTTATTTGCAGCAATTCACCATTGACTATCTATTGAAGCTGGGTGCTCCGCCTTCAAAGCTAGTCTTAGGTCTGCCCTTCTATGGTCGCACGTTTAAGACTGCTGCTGAGGGCAAGGTAAATGATGCCAGCGATGGCATTGGCTTTCGTGGTCCATTCACACGTGAGGATGGTTTCCTAGGGTATAATGAAATCTGCGATATATTAAGCAACAAGACCTCTGGCTGGACAACCAACTGGGACGCCGAGACTAGTCAAATGGTTGCTCGTTCTGAGCGCAATGTTTTCACGCAGGACGTGAATGTTGTCTCCTTCGATAGTTCACGCTCCATCGCTAATAAAGTAAAGTTCGCTATGATGAAGCGATTGGCCGGCGTCATGGTGTGGTCCGTGGACACGGATGACTTTCTTGGCAGATGTGAAGTGGACGAGGACACCTATGCAGATTTTAAATATGTGAAAAATGCACCAAGAAGGCTAAATCAAAATTATCCTTTGCTGCGAACCATCAATGAGGCGACCACACTTGCGCTCGAGGAATTGGCTGCCGATGAGGTCGTAATACCAGATGACTCAGAAAATGAAATACCCCATGGCAAAAATGCTGCAAAATCTTTCATTAGTGTAAGTTTACTGCTCAGCTCTGTTTGCGTATTGTTACACAGTCTAACACATTGAAAAGTCCACAAAGTGCCTTAGTTTTTATTATATGTTTGTTCCCCAAATAATAAATGTCAATATTATTAATTTTAAACAAATGATTTTATATATTTTCAATTTGAGCGCACTTTGATACTTGTGCGCAAAACATCGATAGGTGCGCTAGCATTTGCTGCAGCCCTCGTTGCCTATCGATTTTTTAGATTCAACATTAACTGTTATTTTGTAAAATAGCTGCCATATTAGACTATCAATGTGTACATTTTATGTTATAAATTTAACTTGCAATCTAACGTTTAACTAACTATTTATATATATATAATATATATTTTTGTGTGTGTTTGTATAAATATGCATTTATGTATCGGATTGTGTGAGCTATTTAAATACACAAGTAAGCAACATAATTTGTTTAATATTTTCATAGAATACCAATGCTACAGTGTCAACATTCAATACAAACTACAATATGATTTGTGTATATATGTATATATTATTTACTATATAAGAAGTACTTGTGTATGCTACGTAAAAATTTCAAGTTAAAGCAAAGCTTTGGCCGCATGGACCTTAATGTAAGAAGGGCCAAAGACAGAGAAGTAAAGAGAGAGAGAGAAATTGAGCTCATTTAGAGATCGAAAATATCTGTACTCGAGTTCATTATGGATGGCAAACATTACATATGCATATGCGAAGATCTGTTTACAAATCATAGGCAAGAGAGTTAACTTTGAATGTGTGGATGTGTGTTCGCCTCAATTGATGCTATGTGAAGCGCGGGAAGCAGGAACATGAAGACATGGAACATAGAGAGCGTGGGAGAGCGGGAAAAAAATACTAAGCTCACATAGAGATCGAGTAGATCTGTACTGGACTTCATTTGGATGGCAATCATTTCACAAATCATAAGTAAATCAGCAAGGTATAGACGTGTGTGCTGAGTGTGAGTGTTGTTTATGAAACCTAGACGAAAACTTCAATTTCGTCTCACAAACGTTTACCTTCGGACCAATCGGTGCGTTCGGCACCCGGACAACGGTTACCT